CTACTACAGTAGAAGGCTTCTCTCTTACTCCTTCCCCAACCAGTCTATTTTCTAAATAGCAAAATAATTGTTAAAAATGAAACTGCATCTTCAAACCTATTACTAAATATAGAATAACCCAAATTCTTTTCTAAACATTTACAAGACTTTACATGATCTGACACCTTCTGATTTATCAATCTGTCTTTATTCATTACACTGACCTTCTCACTCTTCCTTTAAAACACAATAAATTCACTCTTGCTGGATGTAGTGGCTCACTGTAATCTCAGCTACTTGGGAGAATCATGGTTTGAGGCCAGGCCAGGCAAAAAAGTTAGCAAGCTACTATTTCAAAGAGCAAGATGGGCATGGTGGCATATGCCTGTAATCCCAGCTATGCAGGAGGATCATAGTCAGAATCCAGCCTAGGCAAAAAGCATGAGACCCTATCTGAAAAATAACCAAAGAAAACCAAAAAGTCTGAAGGCATGGCTCAAGCAGTTACGAACTTGCCAAGCAAGCACAAGGCCCTGAGTTCAAAACTCCAGTATCATCAAGAAAAAATAATTCATTCTCATATCTTAGAATCATGTTTGCTACTGCTTGAACTCGAAAAATTCCCCTCTAGATTATTGCAACGATTTCTCCTCTTCAGTCTTCAGTTTCCATTTAAATATTATGTTCCCAGAAATAGTCTGCCTGTTCCACATAAAACATCAATACCATTTATTCATCCCATTAATCTGACTTAATTTTTGTAGTACATATTACCAAGATTACATTATTTACTTAGCTGCCTACTTATTTTTTCTTTCTTCATTAAAACATAAGCACAATGAAAGAACAATGTTTGGTATATTCTTACTTAGTTTTTGGGAATAAAACATACTCAGGGCAGCGCTCAGTAAATACATGAGAAATGAAAAACTACTCTCACAATATCTTTGGTAGACAAGTGAGTAGTCTCTTGACGTCTGTGGATTTAAAGTTGGTAATTTCTACTATGTGCAAATGGCTCTCTAGGGTCATGACATTTCATCTGTTTTCAGCTCATACTCACAGTTTCTCTTACAAAGTAATGCAATTCTTCACTCTCTCACTTGCTATTCATATAACCTTCAAATTCCTTAACATCTCATGGAGTTGTGAGTATTAAAAGAGTTATTTTATTTTGTTGGCACTGGGGTTTCAACTCAGGGCTTCACACCTACAAGGCAGGTACTCTTACTGCTTAAGCAACTCTCCCAGCCCTTTTTTTGTGACCTGGTCTCTCAAACTATTTGCCCAGGGCTCACTCTGAAACATGATCATCTTGATCTCTGCCTCCAAGTAGCTAGGATTACAGGTGTGAGCAACCAGCAGCCAGCCTTAAATGAGTTATTTTATATAAAGTACTTAAAATAGCATCTGATACAGTAAATATTAGCTGTTTGTTTGGATTTTTTTTTTTTTTGGATAAAATGTGCCTGTAGAAACAGGTGGTCCTAATAGTGAAGATAAAATGAGATAGTTCAATGAAGTGATGGTTTTCAACAGAAAATTGATGTTTTGTGGGAGAAACTTTATGGTATAGATTTGCTCTTAAATTTGGAAAGTAGCTAAGATCTTGAGATATACTTCATAGAAAAGGGAAGACTGGACTTGGCTGAGATCAATTTAACAGTCTAATAGGTTTCCCTTGCCTTGATAAAACAGATCACTCCCAAATCTATCCCATGCTGTGGATGTTAACACTGCTAAAATAACTACTCCTGGTCTCTTTTAAGTCCGATGTCAAGCATGACCTCATCTGTGAATTTTTCCCGATCATTCTCCAAGATAAGTGATTACCCCTGCTTCTGAAATATCTAGAAAACTCTTAACTTCTTATGCTACTTCACAGTAAAATCATCTATGTACATTTACTACTAGACCATATGAAGGAAACTTTTTTTGGCTCATTATTTACTCAACAAATACTTACTGAGGGTTTGTCATGTACACAGTACTGAGGACACACAGGCAATTAAAACATGCAATAAATAAATGCAGTAACACAACAGCAGTATGTCTGCTATACAGAGATGGAATAAAGGAGAATGGTTTCTTGTATATACACATCTGCAGTATCAAGCATGACAAGAGTATGTTTGATAGGCACTCGACAAGTATCTGTCAAACTCAACTCCTTAAGCAAACATGTGTCTTTCAATCTCTTACAATGTCAGTATTATCACTTTTGAACACTTCACTTATGCTCTGGTTCTCCACAAAGCAAGCAGCCTTAAGAACCTACTGGTTCTTAAAAAAGAAGGCCAAAGGGATGTCTGCTGGGAATATTAGATTATGCCACCATTGTGAAGTCAGGAGTCCAGACCCCAGAAAGAAAGGATATACTACTACCTAATTTCAAAGCACTGAATATCCAGGAGAAATTAATTCCTGGTTCTCTGTTCATTCCAATATAGTAGACAGTTTCAGGAAGCCCTTTAATCTCTAAGATACACTTCAAATCTAATGTACACATTCAAAGAATATAATCGGAGATTATACAACTTGAATATGACAGTTTACTGGTTTCTATAGCTGTCGTCTGGTGTACAGCATTCATTTAACTCTTTGGATGAAAAGTTACACACATTTGGATACAATTATTCTATATCAGAACCTGAGATCATAAAATCCTCTAGAGTTCATTTTCTGGGTACCTCATGTGGTAGTTACACAATCATGTCCATTCAACTGTAGGTTTTAAGCAATTCTATATCCACTTCAAGAGGAACTCCTTTCCTTGTTTAATTTCAGTAAATCTTAGTTCTGGAGAGGCTACCCTTCCTTCTACAACTTTCCTCCTCTAATTTTTCTAACAGGAATAAACACCAGATAGTAGATCTCACATTTGAATGTCGCAACATTCCTCCTGAACTTTGCCAGTATTTATGAATTAATGGTGGTACTGTGTAATTATAACAAACTGCCACAAGAACATCTTTAATCTACCCTTTTCTGCTAATTCCTCCTCTCTTCATCCATTAAAATCAATCCCTCATATTTTATCACTCTGCTTTAAGCCTTCAAAGTCCCATGTAGCAGCTTGTGTTCTCCTGTCTGATAAGGTGTTTGTTCAGACTACCTAACAGTTAAATGACCTATTTGGCCTTCTGGGGTCTCTTCCAAAACAAAATGGCAATTAGGCTTGCCTTTTATCAAAGATTATAGGTTTTAAATGTGTACCCTGGATCTAAGGTTCAATTTTCAGGAGGCTAATATCTAAACGTCAACATTCAAAATGCTGCTTCACTCATGTTAACAGGAATATAGCAACATAACAATTTAATATACTGAAGTCCAAAAGGAAACATTTCTCATATATGGCTTATTTTTAAAACTAGTAAGTATCTTAAAACTTTTGCTAAGAAAAATAAGCTTGCTCATTTATTAACTTTTGTATATTCTTATCAACAAGCACAGTGATTTATATAAATTTATAAATCAATACATGTCTATCATGCCAATGATATTACTGTATTTCACACTGAATTTATTCTGTATCTTGCCCAACTGCAGCTTCACATTGGCAGGTTAAAAAACTTAGAATTTCAAAAGTCCAGATTAGGTGACTGTAATCACTGCTATTCTCCCTTTGTAAAATAACCTGCTTCTCAAATGTCATTTTTCTACATTCCATATTTACTTTTGCTATGATAAACTGTGGGCTTTAAAAAGATTGCAAAATAAAGTCTTTGCACTTGCTGTATCAAAATAACAGCTTTAAAATAGCTAATGTTCATGGTAGGGGTTTCCAAAAGGGCAAAAGTCATACTAAAACAGTCTAAACAGAACATATTACTACCTAATAATCATCTAAACAGCTAGGATAAACACTTGTGTATCCACAAATGCAATACTCTTTTCAGGTAATAAAAACCTTTTTAAACGTGTTTTTTAATTGGAAGAAAATTGCTACAATATGTAAGAAATTAAAACATTTTATTTATTTATGTTTCATGGCAAAAGAGGAAAACCATAAAAGACAGGCAGAAAAAAAAGCAGACGGAAACAATGCTTGTGTACAAATAAAGCTTCATTCTCCCACCAAACTTTAAAATCCATGTGAAGAGTAAAGCAGTATAATAAACTATTCTGACGCCTATCAGAACTTTGCTTCTTCTTATACAGGAAAAGTTCCAAATTAATTAATTGATTTTTATTTGAATCTGGTTAAAATAATCAGTCATCAGATATCTTGTCCATTACTCAATCACTCTATACTCTTTGATGGAAGTTTACAACACTTTTAACTCCCCCCCTTCCAGTAACAGAGAAACTATTATCATCAATGATAAATAAACTGATTTCTGACACTAACAAAGAAAAATACGAAGATATTTTATAATTTAGTTTTATTAAAATTTTATGTGATGATAATAACTATCATTTATTGAGCGCTTACTATGCGCCAGGCACTGGGCTAAGCACTTACAAGTATTATGATACTTAAAAAAATAGAATACTGTATAATGAAAAAAAAAAAAAAAACCTAAACTGCAAGTCAAAAATGTAGATTCTATAACCAGAAAGAGCTAAAGTAAAGAAAGAAATATTTGCTGAACAAAAAACATTTTACCAACTAAGTAATGGGTTTATAATAATAAATAAGCCAAACACACACACAACACACACACACACACACTCTACCAAACCAACCAAGCCAAAAAATTCTTTTCACTTCCATTAAGTGAAAATACAGAGAATGTCTACCTTAAATTGTTTTGCAAATTTTTAAGAGCTGTTAGAAAGGAACATACGGATAGAAAAGATGTCAAATTTCAAACTATGCAACATCCAAGTGATTGCAAATTTAGAATTAGTAAAGCCTGAAATAATGTTTTGCTACTTAAGTAAAATAAAACTCTGAAAATTAAGTATCTTTTTGTTAAACCCTACAATAAACCCACAAGAGTAACAATGGTGTTCTTTGATAGTTATTTTCTTTTCTCTTTAAATACAGTATTTCAGAATAAATACGAAATTCTTACTTTGTTGCCCGTATAAACTTGCCCCAAATTGAGACAGCTGACCTGATGTAGATGGTGATGCCAGCATCTAGGAACAAATTAATTATATTAGAGCACAAAGAAAGAACACAGCACTGTACCTTTTACAAATCTGCACACCATACCATAAATATGAATCTAACTCACATTTTTCTTTCTTCAGAAAACACAAACATCGTGTAAAAAATGGCACATTTCTTAAAAGACTATCCAAAATGGATGAAACCAACTGTGGAAATGGAAATAACATTTAACACTGCTAAGAGGTTTTTTTTTAAGTTACATTAAATTAAACTATAGTAACATTATTACTTCAGTTTTAAAAGTAGGCTGACTAAACTAACAAAAACACAAAGCTAAAATCTCAAAAAACCAGCTATATATAAAGTTATGAGATTACTTGATTCTCAGACAATACATTAAACAAGTTCTAATTTCAATTTAATACCTAAAAAGAAGCTTTATACTTCGTAAGATCATTTCCTGATTTTTATATACAAATAAATGATGTGTATCAAATGGAGAAAAAAGTTATATACAGATAGGAAGATAAGTGGAATGGATACAATAGAAAAAAGACAAAAATACAAACATAACATATGATTTGTTTGTGATATGAAGTTCATAGCATTTGTTGTACAATGCCTTTGAATTTACTGTATCAATGTTTTTTTTCTAGTAACATAAAAATTTTTTGAGGGTATGTTATATTAAAAGAACATGCTATATTCATTTTTGTATTTTTTCACAGAAATAGAAATGTAGTAGTACCATATAAAAAACAGATATTTAAGTCGAGTAAATGAAAATATATGTAAAGGCATGTTTGTATACCCTGTTCCATCAAAACATTTTAATTAAATAGGACATGGGCCATGTCATTAAGAGGTGTGTAATCTAGTGGGAAAAGAGAATGAATTATACCACTATATTCTAAAGCACAGTGTGGCAGGTGCTATAAAAGAAGTATAAAGCATCACTGGAAAAAGATCATTGTGAGGTACAAGGTTGAGGTATGAATAAAACTTTGTAGGAAACACTCAAAGAGCGTACAGAAAGGAACCTTTGAGGCCAACAATATGCAGTGAGTATAAGGTTTGTGACATGATGAGAAAACAAAATGAGAAATAATAGTAAATTCGAAAGGAGATAAAGCTTAGTCTAATTGGGGAATATAATAATGGAAATGAATGTTGGGGCCAGATTGCAAAGGGCCTTCTTAAATGTTCTACAAAAATTACTATCAACTGTGGTAATAAAGAAAAAAAAATATTAAACACAGACACGACATAATCAAAATGTGCTTTGAGAACGTAATTCCAAGAGCAAAAATAGATGGAAATGGTGAGATACCACAAGCAGACGGAAGTGGGACTACAAATAAAGCATTCTGGCGGTAGAAGTTACAGTATTTTGGGGTACAGGGAAAAGGAGGTTGGGTATAGAATCACAAAAGAGAAAACTATCAAAAGCCACTTTAATGGTTTCCAGGGAAGGAAAATCATATTGACACTGACAGTTGTTGAGAAAACCAAGATAAAAACATTTAAACAATGGCAGTTTGACCATATGCTTTATGTTATTTTCTTGTGAAAAATTCTTAAATTGTTTCAGTTATTCTGAAGTATGCAAAATTTTTTACACAACAGTTTTAAACCAATGATACTCATCAGACTCTCTTGATGGAAGGTAGAATTACATACTACTCAAAAACAAGTAGTGTGTGTAATAATGAATTTTCCAATAAAGCATCAAATCTTACATATATTTCTTCTCAAAGTCAGAGGTTGTATAATCTAGACAATTATACTAACATTCAAGCTATATATTTTTGACGTCTAACCCAACAGATAAAAAGATGCCTGATCAAATTATTTTCTTAGATACGATAGCCATTACTGTTATCACATTAACTAGAAATATAAAAAGTCCGTTTCCAAACTGTAAGAACAAAATCAAAGGAGATATTTAATATACAGTAAAGTTTTAGTTAGTGACAAAAGGTAAAATGTCTATATGAAACATGTAAGAATCATAACTTGATCATTACTAGCTATACATGAGTGAATATAGTTGCTTCCAAGGTTTCAAATAAAATATACTGGCTGATATGATTTCATGACTTAGAATGATTCATAACATGAACATTTTCAAATGAACAACTTAGAACTAACACTTCTAAAAAAAAAATCTATGTCTACTGAAAACTGCAAAGAACAAGCATTTTAGTTTTCTTTCTCACAAAGGTAATGCATACTTAAATGATTTACAAGTGGACCAAGATAGCAGCCCTCTCAGCAAGAGAAGAGGGAGTAAGTAATGAGAGTCACAATATGAAGGCAGACAGACTGTGGCTCCCAAAGTCAGTTACTTCAAACCAGGAGCTGTAGTATGATCCATTTACCACAGTGTGTAATACTAAATATCATTTTCTCTGCTGCTACTATATGAAGGTACTTAGTTAATAGTGCATAATAGGAAAATGATCATTTGATGTCAAACGTAAGAATTTTTAACCTTTAACACATCCATGAAAAATAAGCAATGATCAGCTTGCAAACATATGTTAAAACTACTATGTTAAAAGTGAAACATATTGTCTTACAGAATTTATCTCTAGTGATGTCTTTTAATTCTAAAGCACATTTCATGAACTAAATCAGTGCTAAAAATGGACTTAAGCATAGTCAAAGAACGTAAATGAGACAGGAATGCCATTTATGAGAGCAAAGAAAAGGAATAAGAAATGTACTCTGAATCCTTCATCCACTGCGTCAGGTGTGCTTGTCACAATCCGGCAGTTAGCTAATAAAAGAGATCCATATACAAACAGCACTCTCAACAAATTTTTTGTAATTATCGGTATATATGTGTGTAAAGATGTATATGTATTAATAATTTTAAAAGAAATACATGTTATATATAATATATACCATACATGCTAATGCTCTGAAGGACAGAGTTTCTACTTGCTCTCATAATAACTTATTTATAAATTAATCAAATAATTTTTTAACTAAAAAAAAAAAAGAAATGTACTCTGGCAGAGCATCAACTACTGCTAACATGTAATAGAAAATTCACATTTTTTTTAAATGATGAAAGTTAATGATAGCCAAGTGAATTTCTTTAAAAAAATACATAAAACCTTAGATTAAGAGATACATTAAGTAGGGAAAGCAGTGTAAATAGAAAGAGCCCAGTTCAGAGTCAGAAAATAATTTAGATGTGAATTTTGGTTCTGTCACTTACCTAAGGAACAGAGCCTCAGTTGTCTTCCTGTACGATGAAATAACATTACCCACCTCACAGAGTTGAAGATTAAAGTAGGTAAGATATGGCACATAGCAAGGGCTCAATAAGTTATAGCAAAAGTTGATAAAATCTAATACTTCTCTTTTTATAGCACAGGGGCATTAAGTCTCTGGGAAACTTATTAAAAAAATACCTTACATAACTTTTTGTTTAAGGAGCTAAAGAAAGAAGTTTATCTTCACAAATTATATGTAAAAATAAGGTACAGAAAACTTGTAGTATTCTCAAGAGGTAGAAAAAGATTAAATGTCATTATCAGCAGAATGAAGAAACCAACAAGTAGGATATCATATTCACAGTCTAAAACCATCATCATAATGGCGCAACTCATATCCCTCAAGAAATGTACAATATATACTCCAAACTACATAAAAATAAAAATTTAGAAGCAGCTAGAACAATGCGTGATTCTAGTTATTTCTTTTCCTAACTGACCAAATGGCCACTTTATCCTTTTTATCATACACAGCATATGAAGGAAATCAACAAATTAGAACTACAGTGTTGTGCTGTTCTGTTTCGTTTTTGAGACAGGATCTTATATAGCCCAGGCTGGCCTGGAATTCACTACACAACCTTGTCTGGGCATTGAACTTGTGATCTTCCTGCCTCTGCCTATCTAATACTGAGATTAAAGATGTACACTACCACACCCAGCTCTAGAACTGTATTTTAAAAATAATTTCACTATTAATAGACACAACATTAACATTTACGACCCCGTAACAGTCTAAAAATTTTTGCTTAAAAATGTCTATTTGATGGCCAAAAAAACACATGAAAAAAGGCTCACCATCTCTAGCCATAAAGGAAATGCAAATTAAGACCACACTAAGATTCCACCTCACCCGTTAGAATAGCCATCATTAGCAACACCACCAACAACAGGTGTTGGCAAGGATGTGGGGAAAAAGGAACCTTTTTACACTGCTGGTGGGAATGCAAACTAGTTCAACCACTCTGGAAAAAAATTTGGGAGGCTTCTTAAAAATGTAAACGTAGACCTTAGATATGATCCAGCAATACCACTCTTGGGGATATACCCAAAAGAATGTGACTCAGGTTACTCCAGAGGCACCTGCACACCCATGTTTATTGCAGCACTATTCACAATAGCCAAGTTATGGAAATAGCCAAGATGCCCCACTACTGATGAATGGATCAAGAAAATGTGGTATTTGTACACAATGATGATGACAGTGAAAAGAAGCTATCCTTATTTATACTAGACTTTAACAGAATATTATTACCGGTATGAGAACAATCTTAGTTGCAGTAACTGCTGTAGGCTAACACTATTATGAAAGCATGGTATGAATTCAAAATGGTCTGTCAGAGTAAGTATGTAGCCTACACTTCTTAGTTTTCAGTTTTGTAAATGTAGAACAGGTTTCACATCTCAGGTATTTTTGGCAAATCTTAAAAGAGGCCTCTACAAGTTTGTGCTCAAATGATTATGCATAAGAATCATCAAAATGTGTATATACTCAAAGACTCCTAAAATAAAAAAAGTGTATCAGCAGTTAAAATGCATATATATTTTAAGTCTACAAGTTAGATTATATTATTTCCTAGTACATCTTAAGTGAAAGCTTCTCATGTTTTGTAGTCTCCAAGATGAAAATAATAGTAATAACAAGGAAAACAAGCTAGCATCTATGACTTATTTAATATGGTGAAAATATTTAAGTAACATTTCTATAATATGCCTAATACTGCTTTTGTATTTAAAAT